GTTTTTTTCGTCTACCAGGCAATGGAAGGACAGTCTAAAGTATATTTTTTAGTCAAAACATTATTTTAGATTAAATGAAGAAAAACATTAAGAACACTTACAGTTATGGGTTGTTATACTTATTTTTGTTGAATTAACTGTATAAAATCTTGATATACATATTTGATTAGTATTTCCTGATAATAGCTCTGATGATTGATTAAATGATCTCAAATGATTGATAATTGCTCAAGGTATAATGGTATTTGTTGTAATGAGTTTTGGGAAAAGCATGATCTAATATCGCCACTAGATGGTGTAATTACGGTGATAAAGTTTATTTTTGATATTGTATGAAATTATGAATTTTTACAGCTAACGGCCATGACGATAGACCAGAGGATCTTGATAAATACATATAATGGGGTTTTGTAATATAGATTTTCCTGGGGGTGAACATTTGACATTTTTTCTATCTAAATTGGGACTAAATTGAAGGGTGGTGGAATGGGTGAATTGATTTGTTGATTAATTGGGATTGTTTATTTTTATATTAGATCACCAGGGGGAGTTGGGAGGTTCTACTATTTACATACAATATGCATGTTAAAACACATTAATTGTTTAAATCATATTTTTTATTCACACAAACACATTTTCTGCTGTGACAGGCTAAACATACCGGCAGCGCTCTGTGCAAATAAAATTGAGACGGCACGATTGAAGGGGAAGAGGGCACAGAGTTTTTTTTTCTTTTTCTTTTTCAGATGGACAAAATGGACCAGGTCTGCCCTTGGAGTCAAAAAGAGAAGTTCAGGTTCTACAAACTGATGAACATCTATTAGATAAGAACACTTCTTGAATTAGGACGCCTCCTGCAATTATTAAATCATATATTTAGAGCTCATACTTAGACAAATGTTAGAAATTTCCATTATGTCATATTGCACCACACCAGGGGGATGCTGAAGTTCTAGGCAGATGTCCAGGGCTGGGTCAGGTGACCTGAGGCTGGCAGCAGGTCACACCCTAGCCGTCAGCTCTGGCATCTTATTTTGACCTGAGGCTGCCAGGTCACACATGCTATAGTCTGTAGGCATCTCCCGTCAACATATAAGGAGAAGTTTACATTCAACCAGAGGAAAAATGATTAATTGCTTGCTTATCTGGCGGTATTGAACTGGGAGTTTTTATGCGAGGGAACCACTTTGGGGACCCTCGCCCAGTGGGAGTTGTTTGGATATTTCTTATCTAGACTGGTCCTATGGTTTTGACCTGCTCAGAGACGGGATTATAATGAAATTACAACCCGGTTCTGACTGGGTTAAACTGGGCCAGTAGCTCTAAGAGAGTCTCCCTGGGATTCAATATCAGTCAAGGAATAGAGTTTAATCTGCCACATCATGTAGAAAGGCTTTTGAAGCACCGTCTCATATTTCCTAACACATCAGAATCACATAAGATCCATTGAGATCAGACTTAGTCACACTCCCTCATCCATTGACAGGTTGAGCTCCCCTTCTGCGAAGGGGGAGTCCAGGAACCTATAAATGAGTAATGACACGGGACATCGGGGCTCTTCCGGGTTTTTGTGAATGCGTCACAGACTGGAGAGACCAGCGCTGTGAATTGTAATTTTTTCCTGACTTGATTTTAATACAATTGATAAAATCCAAAAAAGTTCAATCTGGTCCTCTGGTCAAGTTCACACGAGAAGATGCAAAAAATGGCAGGTTGGCTTTCTTGGACTGTGAGGTCTCAGTCTCTGATAGAGGACATTTGCAAACTGAGGTGTATCGCAAACCCACCCACACAGACCAGTATTTGCAGTTTGACTCCCATCACCCTTTGGAGCACAAGTTAGGAGTCATCAGGACTCTGTATCACAGAGCAGACAGCATCCCCACTAACTCAGGAGCCAGGCAGAAGGAGAAATCCCACACAAGACAGTCTCTAGAGCAATGTGGATATCCTAACTGGGCCTTCCTAAAAGCAGAGAAGAAACCCAAACAGGACTCCAGTCAGCCATCAGGTGAAAAGGAGGAACCCAGACCCAGACCAGTGGTCATTCCATATGTTGAGGGAGTATCAGAGAAACTGAGACGTTTATTTTCTAAACATAACGTCCCAGTGGCTTTTAAACCCCAAAATACATTACGGCAAAGACTGGTTCATCCCAAAGATCCAGTCCCCCGGCACAAACAGAGTAATATTGTGTATGTTGTTCAGTGTCAGGAGGGTGATCAGTCTTACATCGGGGAAATAAAACAGCCACTGGCCAAAAGGATGGACCAGCACAGAAGATCAACATCATCAGGCCAGGACTCTGAGGTCTACACTAATCTCCAGGCCAGAGGTCACTCTTTCAGGGATATAGATGTTCACATCCTGGACAGAGAGGAACGATGGTTTGAGAGAGGAGTAAAGGAGGCCATCTTTGTGAAAAGAAACCGTCCATCGTTAAACAGGGGTGGAGGCCTCCGGGTTCAACTGTCCCCCTCTTACAATGCTGTGATTGCTAGTATCACTCAGCCCTCTGTGAATAGTAAACAGCCATCAGGTGCTAATGATCCATTGTTAGGCTGATGGTCCTTCTTGAGCATGTGATCAGCTGGTTTTGGTTGTCAGCAGCAAAACTGGTTGATCCACTCTGAGAAGGTGCTATTTAAGAGACTGAGCTGAAAACAGCACCTTAGACTGAGGAAGTCCTCAGGATGAGAGACGAAACGTTTCTACATTTTTTTTCTTTTTTTTTTGAATGTCCAGAGGACCAGATTGAACTTTTTTGGATTTTTCTACCTGGATTATTGAGCATGCATCAGGATACAATTGATAAAACTTAATTGATGTTCCCTTGATTTATTGTTTAGTATGAGTTACCACTTCTGAGGGAGATTTGAGCTGGGGGGAAAAGACGTGGGCTGGAGGGGGTTTTCTGGGTCCGGTGGCCCGCAGCACAGCTCGCGTCTTTAACAGTACAAATGTCCAAAAGCAAAGATATTTCTGTAAAAATCCTTCCAGCTGCACAGCATACGACACCAGAGGAAATAATCATCATCAAAAAAAAAAAAAAGATTTATATCCAGAAAAAAAGAGGAATTAAAAGTTTTCAAAAGTAACATCTCAGAATGAAAGTAACAGAGCTACTCCAACATGCAGCCACCTTGAGCGGCGCGATTCTAGAGTGCAATTGTGAAGTTTTTTTTAAAGCTTTTGTAAAATAGGAATTTGAGCAAATATATTGTTATGTTGTGAAGGTTTTTATATATTTGAGCAAAATGGCATTTGGTTACAGTTGGAGTCAAACATAATCATATCCTATTGTTTTATGTGCATGGGATAATAGAAAATGTGTAGATAATTAAAAGAAAATACAAAAACAAGACAATTTAGGCTTGTAAATCAGATCCCTCTTGTAAATGAGTCCTCGAGGCTCAATGAGACTAACCTGTGTAAATAAAGGTTGAATGAAAAATAAAGTTAGTTTAGTGTTTTAAAACCTAAAGAAAATCTAAACTCTCATAAATGGCACCAAACTATGCCGAAATGAACCATCTTGAGACAACTGACAAAACACCTTGCTATTCCTTTACTAAAACCACCTTAACTGCACTAGTTTATTTCAGCAACATGACTCCTTGAACAAGTAACGTCCGCATGTAGATTCATGGTTTCCTAGAGATTTTAGTCTTCTTCATCAGATTTTCTGAGGGGTTATATATAAAGCAAAAAATAAATAAAATACAATAACTTTGGGCGAGGGAAAATACAATCGTTTTTTCCCCTTCAATGTTCAATTCATATTTTCTTTTTCTGTGAAACAATAACAGCTGCTGTGATTCTTACACTTGTGATGAAACCTTCCAGTTGTTCGCTTTATTTTGATGCGGAGATAATTTAAACAGCGTTTATAAATGCTGAGAAACACTTTCATTTGGGCATGTTATTTTAAAGCAGGGACTTCAAGAAAACCTCTTGGGATTTAACAAGTTAAGAAAAATGAAAATCCAATTTAAATTTTGCTCAATTCAATTTGCATCATGTCAGTTCCCAACAAAGAGTTTCAGGGTTCTATATATATATAAAAAAAACAAATCCAGGTCAAAAATCTAAATAGATAAAAATTCAAATTCAAATTCAAAAATACTTTATTAATCCCAGAGGGAAATGAAGTGTTGTCGTAGCTCATCATCCTGGTTTCATTCAAGAGCTGCTATAGATGCCGATAGCTGTGGGCAGGAAGGATCTCCTGCAGTGAAGCTGAAGAATCTGGCCACAGATACCGATCCGTCCACCCAGATCTAGCTTGCTGTCAGATCCGGCGGGCCTCTCGGTCCTCCTGGGCAGCAGGACTGCCTGAATGTCGGACAGAATTCCTCCCTGAGTGATGGTCACTCCTCCTAGCAGTCTGCAGAGCTCCTCACGAGCCAAGTTTCTCACCAGCTCCAGGATCTCGGGGGTCAGGTACTCGAGCACTGCCGCCAGGTTGACGGGAATTTGTCCACGGCATCTCCTTTTCAACTCATGTGGGATTTGGGGCTATAGATGAGATATGTGAGCTTTTGAGATGCTAATCAGCTGCTCCTTGTTGTTAAAAAAAACCCACCTTGTGCCATGGTTACGCATCATAACTAATGTCCAAAAGTAAAAAAGTTTCAGTAAAAATCCTTGCAGCTGCACAGCATCCAACACCAGAGAATATAATCATCCAAAAAAAGTGATTTATAACTAGAAAAAAGAGGAATTAAAGTTTTCGAAAGCAGTAAATCAGAATGAAAGTAACAGAGCTGCTCCAACATGCAGCCACCTTGAGCGGCGCAATTCTAGAACCAGATCCATCCATAAATATGATGAATCCAGATTCTGATAAAAATGTTAATTTGTTTCAAGTGTTGACATGACCTGTTAACCCCGTGAGTCAAAAACCATTTTCTGTATGAATGAGGTTAGAGTAAAAACACTCAACTGACAAAGGTCAGGATGAGGACTTTTGCTTAGGAATGTCCGTGGTGAACCTTTACCTTCTCATAGGTGTACTGCTCCTGCAGGATCACTGGCAGCCTCTCCAGGAAAGTTCTCATGCAGGGAGCCATGTTGAGGCCGAGGACACCCTGCTTCTTCAGTGCCGTACGGCAAGTCGCTAGTACGTGATTGGACGCCACAAACTCCTTGTTGCAATTGACCACCAGAACATCCTAAATATTAAAATGCACACAAAAAAGAGAAGATGGCAATAAAGATGGGACAAAGTGAAAAAACCATGAACGAATGAACCAGTGAACCGGTAATAATCACTAAAATTAGAAACATCTGATCTAAAAATGATGCAGAAAAACTGGTCCATGCATTTGTCACGTCTAGACTGGACTATTGCAATGGTTTATTATCTGGGTGTCCAAATACTTCTTTAAAACGTCTTCAGTTGATCCAAAATGCTGCTGCCAGAGTCTTAACTGGAGTTACTGGGAGAGATCATATCTCTCCAGTTTTAGCTTCTCTCCATTGGCTCCCTGTCAAATCCAGAATAGAATTCAAAATCTTATTTCTAACCTACAAAGCTCTCAACAACCTAGCTCCATCTTATATTACAGATCTTATTGTTCCATATTTTACTAACAGAGCACTTTGCTCTCAGACTGCAGGTTTACTTGTGGTTCCTAGAATTTACAAAAACAGAATGGGAGGCAGATCCTTCAGTTATCAGGCTCCTCTCTTGTGGAACAAACTTCCAATCTCTGTCCGTGAGGCTGACACATTATCCAGTTTTAAGACTGGGATTAAGACTTTCCATTATGATAAATCCTATTGGGTTGGCTTGGGTTTCCTGAGCTGTCCCTTAGTTATGATGCTATAGGCTTAGACTGCTGGAGGACAAACTGACCACATTTCTTCTCTATGCTACTGTCTTTAAAAGAAAGAAGGACTCTTACGTCAGTATGCTCTTTGTGGACTTCACATCCACCTTCAACACCATGATCCCCCAAACCCTGATGGACAAACTATTCACAATAGGACTAAGTCCCTCCATTTGCAACTGGGTCCTAGACTTCTTAACAAACAGACCACAGTCAGTGAGGATCCACAACTTCTCCTCCACCATAACCCTCAGCACTGGCTCTCCTCAGGGATGTGTATTGAGCCCCCTCCTGTTTACTCTGCTCACGTATGATTGTGCAGCTACCCATCCAGGCTGTCACATTGTAAAGTTTGCAGATGATACAGCGGTGGTGGGATGCATCACAAACAATGATGAGTCCAGCTACAGGCAAGAGGTGGAACACCTGGAGAGCTGGTGCAAAGATAATAACCTTCACATCAATGTGAAGAAGACAAAGGAGATGATTGTGGACTTCAGAAGGAACAAAAACATCTACACCCCCCTGAACATAAGAGGATCTGCGGTGGAAGTGGTCTCCAGCTACAAGTACTTGGGTGTGCACCTGAACAACAACCTCAGCTGGAGCAACAACACCACCAGCCTGATCAAGAAAGCTCATCAGAGACTCTACTTCCTCAGACGGCTGAGGCGAGCTGGTCTGGGAAGCTCAGTCCTCACCTCCTTCTACAGGTGTGCAGTGGAGAGCATCCTGTGCTCCAGCATCAATGTATGGCATGGAGGCTGCACAGCTGCAGAAAGAAAAGCTTTGCAGAGAGTGGTGAAGGCTGCACAGAAATCTGTCGGAATCAGTCTCCCCACCATCACAGACATCTACACCTCTAGATCCAGGAAGAGGGCCACCTGCATCATGAAGGACCCCACTCACCCAGCACACACACTTTTTACCCCACTCCCCTCAGGAAGGAGGTTAAGGAGCATTAAGTGTAGAACCACTAGACTGAGGAACAGCTTCTACCCTGAGGCTGTTAGACTCATGAATCTCTAACTAGAATAATCACTGTGAAAAAACATATCATGTTGCTGCTGATCTGTTTCATGTTGCTGCTGATCTGTTTCAATGTTGATGTGTTCATGCGTGCACATCTGCTCACAGACTCATGTTCATGTTTGTGCTGATGTTCAATGTTTTTATGTTATGAGTGCTTAGTGTATATTTAGTTGATGTTTTTCTTAGTTCATATCTTAGATGTTATTACTGTTTTTCTTATACATTTTATTGTTGGATGTAACTGGGACCTTGTGTACATAATTTCGCTCCTCCACATGTACCACATGAGGTGCGAATGACAATAAAGAAACTCTGACTCTGACTGAATATAAACATTAGTGTGAATATAAACAGTAGTATGAACAGTAGTATGACAAACAGTAGCATGAACAGTAGTATGAATATAAACAATAGTATGAATACAGTAGTATGAATATAAACAGTAGTATGAACTGTAGAATGAATATAAACAGTAGTTTGAACGGTAGTATGAATATAAACAGTAGTATGATTAGTCTACAAAAAAGAAAAGTAGCAAAAAACAGCTAGATTCTAAGGCGAATGTAGAAACTAAAAACAGGAACATGTCTGCATTGGTCCCTGCCAGGAGTCCAACACATTCTTAAAGCCACTTAAGAGAGGTCAAGGTCGAGAGCTTCAGATATTATTGTAAAATATTCCATACCATACCATTTTATTTATAGAGCACTTAAAACAGCTAGAAGGCCAACCAAAGTGCTGTACAGACATAACAATAGACAACACACGAAGCAATATACAAAATGAAGTAAATCAAAAATATGGACATAAAAACAATGCAGATAATAACTATGACGACAAACCAGTGTGAAGCGTACAGGATCAAAACACAGATCATCTGGTGTTGAAAGCTACTGAATAGTAGTGAGTTTTTAAATGGGACTTGAAAACCGAGAGGGAGGGGGCCAGTCTGATAAGCAGAGGTAACTCGTTCCAGAGTCTTGGTCCTGCTACAGAGAAGGCCCTGTCACCTCTGCGCTTAAGACGAGTTCCTGGAACTGTGAGGAGCAATTTGTCCGCTGACCTCAGGGAACGTGGTGGGACATACGGTTGTA